CAGATACTTGTACACATTGATGAGATCCCCTCTCAGTCTTGTCTTCTCCAGACTGAACAGGCCCAGCTGTTAATAATAACCAAATATAATAAGAATAACCAAATAACCCCCGCTTGCTTTGCCCTGGGGGGCGTTGGCTTTTTAACCAAAGTACAGGAGACTGTTCGAGCAAAGGGAAAAGTGCTGGGTTTGATTTCTTGGGTTTTTTTTTTTTAAGAAAAATGACATTGATGTGAACGTCACTTTAATGTGACACTGACAAAGCAGCTGAGGTGGGATTCATTTGATTAAAAACCTGTGTTTGCAGGAGTTTTTTGGCACCATACTAACTCCCTGATGATGAAGGAAGAAGAACAGGACCTTGTCTCAGACTGGGGCCACCCCCCAAAACTGCATCCCTGGCAGCATCTGCTGCCCTGTGCTGACCGCTCAGGGAGCCCAGCTGACTAGCTCAGACGTTTACCGCAGATGTTTGAATGCAAGCAAGGGGAATCTTTCCCTTTGGTCTCCATCAGCGATGTCAGCCTTTGCGGACCTAGCCTGTGCAACCCATGGGCACTGTGGCGGGTGCACTGAGTTGCTGTCCTGACTCTGCGGGCTGCCTGGACTTGACAGCAGCTCATTTGCCTACGTGGAGGTGCCTGGACGCGTCTGAGCGTGGTGGGGTCTCAAACAGTGAGACGTCACGTTTATGGGACCTGTGGGAAGCCTATGTCCATCTCCGTCCACTCTGGGACCTCCCAAATGGCTCTAAACGCATGTGTGGGGGACTGAGTCAGGCACCAGCATCTGCACTGCGGCAAGACTTCAAATACAGGTGTCACGGCCATCCCTGTCCCACGTGTACCACGGCCACCTTGGCCTTGTGCTTCCCGCCCTGTTCAAGCTGCCTTTTCTCACCTACTTGAATAGCCCGAGCAGCCCTTGTGCCCTGGGAAAAGCAGGACTGGGGAGGACTGTGGCCGGCAACGTCCCGCCCCTCCACTTGGAGAGATGGACACAGATGTGTGCAGCGTCCCGCTCGGACTCCACAACCCCTGTGGACACCTTGCTCTTTCCCGTACTGCCCCACGGCACCGGCTGCTCTCCGTTGCAGCCATCGCTTAGGGGTGTTTTAGTGTGTCTGAGCTGAGAGAAAGTAGTGGCACTTTTGGGATTCCCCCAGTGCCTGGCTCGTAGGGCCTTCTCTGGGGAGCCGCCCAAGCATGGTTCCCCAGCCGGCCAGTCCCGAAATCCCATGCTCTTCTCCTGATCTTGCTGCTTCTCCCACTACACAACCAGGCAAGCCACACTGCCAGGTTTTTAAAAGGGGCCTTTCTCCATTTTATTTTGCCTGAATAAAAATCCTTCACAGTCAGAAAGAGATAGGAGCGATACGTATACATATAGATCTTCTCGTGTATATATATATATTATATATATACACACACACACATCTCTGTACAGATATATATATATTCACTGTAGAAAATTGCAAAGGCAGTAGCTCTTCACATCTTTATAACCCAATGGAAACATACGACAGACTAGCAGTAGTAGATTGTGAAGTGTGGTATAAGTTTAACGAGGATTTCCTAAATGGGTACACCTTTGCTGTACAAAAATCCCCAAATGTTGCATTTTATTTCTTTATTTTTCAACCTCTTTTCTTTAAATACACTAACCAGAAGCAAAGTCAAGACAATTGTGTTTTGAAGTGACCAGTGGACAGGAGAGACACCCAACTTTATGGAGTTCTTTTTTTAAATATTTTATTTTTTAAGTATTTATATAGCAACAGTCAACGCAGAACAAACAGTAACAGAGTCGAGTTCAGAACACTTCTGGTTTGAATTCACAGTAAGAGCAGAGAGAGACCAAGGCTTTGAGAAACAAACAGAGGAAAAAAAGCACAAGGCTGGGATTGAATTTACAGTCGGGTAGGTCCAAAACATTGGATGAAGGGCCTAATGCGGAGTCCTACACACACACACAGCCTGCACCTCACCCAGCGCTAGAGTGGCAGCAGAAGGCTCTGGCTGCTCGTCCGCGGGGTTTTTATTGCTGGTGAAATCAGACAACAGGCTTGCTCAGGCTGCCAGCTGGCCCAACCTGACATATCTCCGTCGGGAAGCTGGGTTTTGGGTGCCTATTGATCTGCTGAAGAACAGACACAGAGACAAATGACTAAGCAATGTGCATTTAATTAGGATGAGGAAACCCTCACAACCGTACTGCCCGGTGCAAGGCAAAGGCCAAGAGAGAGTCCGGACGGGCCGCCTCTCAGCTCACAGCGTTTACCAGGTCCAAGTGAGTGCAAACGAAGACACCTTGGAGGAGTCCCAGCTCTGGGCTGGGCTCTGCGGGGTTGCCGCTGCATGGAAAGGAACTGCATAGACATTGACCAGATGTGCAGCATTTTTGCACGAGTGGTGGAGCACTTTTGCACCGGTGGTGGAGCTCTGCCCACGCACATTTGTTCCCCTCGGCCCCTGGAAAGGAACCCATGTGCCACCAATGCAGGAAAGGGCACCTTCTCCTCCAGGAGGGCTCCTAGGACAGCCTGGCTCCCAGGCCCAGCAGCAGCACTGAAGTCTTGGTCTGCAACTGGTATCTGGCAGTCACCACTCATGGCTCTGTGAGCTCATACCCCTGGGGATCCAGTGGCTCCCATGTCGGTGAGCTACAGGAGAAGACCTGTTGCCAGGACCCAGTAACAGTCATGGGATGGCCGCCAAAGGTAGACAGATTGCGTGTCCCGGGGACCCAGGCTGATCACCTGCTGGACATGGCAGCTCTGGGCTCTCTGGGCAAATGGGGACAGCCAAGCTCAAGCCGCTGGTGGTTATTTGGAGGCAGGCCTGGCCTTGCTTCCCTTTCCAAAGGAGGAGAGCCCAGGGCTGGAGCTACGAAAGTCAGGGGCACGTAGTCTTGCCTGCAGGTATCAGAGGTGGGAATAGCCCCTTTTAAATCATTCTAGAAAAACATATTGCTTTGTGACAGAAATGAGAGAGAAAACAAATCTGTAAAGAGCCTTGAAAAGAGCCTCTGACCCTTCCTGTCAGAGGCTGTCCCACGCTCTAGAGCTGACATGATCCCCTTCATCGGGAGAACCAGGGAGGAGGCTTATCCTGCAGACAAAGAGGCTCAGTTCTGCTTTTGCCAACAGTCGCACTGCCAGCGTGGAAAGTCCTATTGGGAAGCTAACACCTGCAAACAGCTGGATGTGATCCCATCCCCTTGTTATGCTGAAGACCTGGTGGCATGGGTGCTGTGCACCCCTACAGACCAGAGGTGTTTGGATGCCCCTTACACCCCTGTTTGCAGAAGGTGGAAGGACTGCAGAGGCCTGAGAGTGGGCGGGGTGTGTGGATGTGACAGTATGAAACCCCATATAGTGACTTCAAGTGATTGCAAGCCATGGGGATCTCCTCCACTGAGAAGCAAGATCGCTCTTGGAAGGTAAAGCAGGGCTATTCTAGCTGACATGGGACTGATGGAGAGAAGAGTTGAGGATCAATAGTCTAGAAAACTCTTCTAAGGACAAGATTGGGACAGGCCGCTGTCAGTGGGGGGCTTTGGGCTTCAGCTCCTGCTTGCTAATGGAAGTCTCTGGGAGAGTACTGGGAGAGACACCAGCTGCTCCTAGGACATTGGGGATCGTGATGATCTAAACGAGTCAGGGTTGTCTGGAGAGCTGGGGTGGAGGAGAGGCAGGACACAGGCAATATGCAGCAGTATCTTCAGCAAAGGATCTTGGTGAAGAGTAACCCTATAGAGTAGTCTTTAAGCCTTAGGCTAAAGGATTGAGTTAGTATAGGGGCAAGCTGGACCTGCAGGCCATCTGGGACAGAAGTGAGGCCGTCACTGTCTGCACATTACTGGGTTTTTGTGGTCTTGTCAGGAATGAACCCGGAAGGCTTGGCATGACAAGGGCATGGTAAAGGGGCATTATGTGCCTGAGACCCAGACCCACCGATCACCCTTCTCCAGGAGTGGTGGGGCATGGCTGTACAGGCAGAGCAGCACAGATCTCACACCGGCCCATGCTCTGCATGCCCAGTGCTGGGAGCAGGGTGAGGAGCTTTCATGGAGCTAAGACAGGCAGAGATGCCTTCAGCATCCCAGACCAGAGAAGCAAGGACCATGGTGTCTTCGCCTCAGAAGACGGTTCCCTAGGAAGGAGGGTGCTGAGGATGCCCTGGGGGGAGCTGGAGAGAGGGCACTGTCGGGACAGCTAGCAGGCTCTCTGGATAAACATTTTCCTGCCCAATTCACACAGAACCAGCATGAGCCTTTGGCTAGACGCTGTAGCAATGTCTGTGCTGCTAAACTGGAGAGGACTAGAGAGGACCAAGGTCTGCTCTGTGGTCCTTTTCTCCCCAAGAAAAAAGAGGAATTGCATCCATCCTGCTTCCTGGGAACAGCCCCTGGTCCATACTCTCCTTAGGTGACACTTGGAGCTGGTTGGCACAGCCGGAGAGTGTGCGGGCAATTAACCAGCCTGGATCATCAGGGATAAGTGGGCTCGTCCAGGAACCAAGAGAAAACAGCCTCCTTTCTACCCTGTCCTAACCAGCACAAGAAAGGCTCCGCACGGCTCTGGAAATGTTCCCAGGTGGGCCACAGGGAAATCCAGACAGCTTTCTCTGTCCCCTGCCAGCTCTTATCCCCTTTCTCAGCCCATGCCAGCCTCATGCCTCTCCTGGGAATGTGGGGAGGCAGCTCTGAGCATGCAATCCAACACCCTTCAGAGATCTTTGGTCACGTTGCTCGCAAGCTCGCTGTCCTGAGTGAGCTATAAAGTGCCACTGTGATGCCCAGCAGTGGAGTGGGTTAGTCATTTCCATGGGCAGAGCTCATGGGCGGCAAGGTGCAAGGGGAACACTGCTGGGAGCCAGTCTTTCCACAGGAAGCTTTGGAGTGATGCGAGGCTCCCAAGGATGGGCAGAAGGGACTTCAGCCTTGATGAGAGGGCAGTTGCAAAAGCCTGGCTCAGGATGATAGCAAGCACTGAAGGAGGACAAAAGTGCTGCCAGGCTGCTCTATTGGAGCCAATGCAAAGTGAATTGCCCTCCTGGGAGGTGCTGCACCCCTTCCGCTTCCACCATGGCCAGCGTAATCTCAGAGGGAGCTGAGCATCCTCTGTGTAGCGCTCAGCACTTGAACACAGCGTCTGCTGTTACTGTCTATCCCATTCAGCAGTATAGAAGCCACAGAGCTTTCTTGTCTGTGCGTTTAATTGTTGTATATACAGAAGTGGGCTGTTATTTACATCCAAGTACACTTGTCTCCATATAACGTAGCAGCATAAGAGCAATCATTCGATTCCTGTCTTGGTTAACAAGTGTGGAAACCTGGAGGTGATCTCCATCCGGCATTACGGCAGTGACAGCAGGAACGGTGCAGCCGGCTGCTGCGATACGGCAGCAGAAGCTAAGTGGGACTGTGTGAAGCACAACAACGCACGATGGTTGTGTTGTTCACGCCCTGGGTGGGTGCTGACTGCTCGAGGGGAAACTAGTCCAGCTGGGTGGGCATTTTACAGCAAGAGGAGCAAAATCAACCTCAAAGTGATGGTGGAGCAAAGCAACCCCACTCACAGCAAGTGATGAGAAGGGCTGCTTACACCTTCCCCAGCACCAGGATAACCTGCTTAGCCCAAATCCTCGTGGATGGAAAGTGCTGGAGCTGATAATGCCCCATGTGTGCTCATATATTGGACATGTGCACACGCCTGGAGCGTGGCTCACTCGCCCACACAGGAGTGATATGCCACTGGAGATGCTCCAGGTAACCCTGTCTTCGCACTGCTGGGGTGGCTCTCCCATAGGTCTTGGGTCAGATCGGCCAGCCCTGTGTGTCACATATCCCAGAACATCTCTAACAGCCCTAGACCCGATGTGTGGGCAACTGACCCGAGCCCCCCATGACCACAGCCGTTGGCATTGGCCGATGGCAAGTTAGAGATGACCTGCTGTTTCAGTGGAGACATTGATCGCCTGCAGGATTTTGAGGGCAGTACTGGGACTTAGAGAATTACACTCAGTATGTCACACTGAATCCCATCAGCTCCAGAGCTGACTGAACAAAGGAGGAGGGGAGGATTGGGTTATGATCAAACCCAAACTCTGAAGATGGGTTTCATGGGACAGAAACATTTTATCAGCCCTGCATGAGCCTCAGAGAGATGGGCCATTGCTCTCCTTGGCCATTCCTAGGATATGTCATCAAAACACCAGGCTGGCACTCCTTAGTTATCTTATTCCAAAGCAAAGACCACAAAACCTCACTGCAAACCTAGCTTGTGATGGGATACCTCATCCAGCCAGTGGGTGAAAGCTGACATCAACTAGTGCCGAAGTCTGGAAAGAGCCAGGTGAGCTCCAGTCCGGGCCAGATCTGAGCACAAATGACAGGAACGCAGGTGTCCCACCAGCGTTTTGCTCTATGCCTACTGAGCAAAGGGCACTCACCTCTGAGAGACACTGGTTACCAGTATGTGGCTGCACAGCAGCAGCCCGTGGGGGAGGACGTGATGGGGAGCAGTGCATCCCGTTGTGGGGAGGATTTCTGGAGAGGAGGAGTCACACATGGCACTTTGGGTAGCAGACTTGCCAAAAGTAACTGTATTTTACAGCACCTTTAATGCTTTGAAACTCCAGCTTAACTAAGGAGGTGGTTCCTGCAGGTCAGCTGAGTGCTTGGGGGATGTTGGGTGACTCCTAACAGGGAGAAAAGCACTATCAGCAGCACAGCTTCTTAGTGGGTATCTGCAGAGCTCTCTGTCATCCGGGGAGTAGACACACTTGAGGTTACTCAGATCTAGATCAAAGCTCTAGATCAAAGTGATGAAGGGTGCCAGTGCATTAGCACAGACCTCTGGTGAGACGGTGTCCCATAGACTGATGCTGGTGCCCATTGCTCTTGGTTGTTAACGCAGCAAGGAATTGCGGCATACACGTCCTCAGCAGCAGACTTCTGGAGTCACCATCTGAAAGCATGGTTCCTGTGATGGTTAATGGATACCCAATTGCAACATCAGAGGGGCTAGGAGGAGCAACGTTGGAAAAGATCCACCAGGTCATTGGACCCGTCTTGTGGCAAGGGTACTTGTTGTTGGTGGGGTGTTGTTCTTTGTGTGGTGGCCTCAGAAATGCTAATGAGAGGCAGCTGAAACTGAGCCTCTTTGCAATTTCTCTGTGCTTTGCTGTTTTTCCCAAGGACTGTAAAGCCTGTCACAAGCACGGATATCTCACAACCGCTTGGGGAAGGAAGACAGTGCAGGTTTATCTGATGGGGAAAGAGAGGCACACAAAGCCAAGATGACACAACACACCGGATTTCCAGGCCTGACACTGTTTTTGGGGTGTTCGACTCCATTGCAAAGGCCCAGCGATGAAACGAAGGAAGACCTGGGGTTTGCAAGACCAAGTGCAAGCGTGTGCAGCGTGTGTCTCTGAGGCCCCTGACTCAGGCTGCAGCCCATGAAGCACCAGACCAAAGAGGAGGGCAGAGATGGGGACTAGGGTCCTCTCTTGACTCCAGCAGGACGTGGCAGTGGTGCACCAGTGAACCCACTTGCCCTTCCCGCTCCTGCCTTTGGCCTGGCAAAGTCTGCTGCTAGGTGGCACCAGCACCGAGTGGCACTTCTTCTGGAGCGGGGTGCACAGGCATCATCCGAGTGCTGGTGCACTGCAGGATTTGTAATGGGACCCACTTCCACCCCCTTCAGGGATCAGACCTGACTTAGTCCCACTTCCTGTCGCTGGTCGCTGGAGGGGGGCTTAGCCTGAGCTGCCGTGGTATTTGCATTGTTCTTTCTTCCAGCTCCAAAGGCACAAGCAGAAGTGGTGGGAAAAGCTAGATGCTCTCGACTCGGGCCTTGAAATGCCCTGATCTCATCACACATCTCCATTTTCTACAGCTCCAGGAATTGCTACCATCCACCAATAGTGCCCTCAGCAGGTCCTGGCCAGTAATACTGTGTGTTGACCTTGGCTGGAGGTTGGTGGGACAAAGTGGGGACTCCTTTCTCCTGCTCAGCCTCTTTGCTCAGTCTGGAGCTCACCACAATGGCACTTGGTCCCAGCTTGAAGGTTAGACCTGGTCATGGAGAGGACGGAGCTCTGGGAGAGGGAAACATGGAAAGTGAGTAGCTTCAAGGCTTTTGTTTGGAAGGTTTCTGTCACTAAAAGTCCTGAGGTTCTTCCTTGATTTGCAAATGAATCATGATCTGGGCAAAATCCCCCTGGAGTCACCTCACACGGGCAGCCCAAGAATGCGAATTCTAGCTTCGTTCTCCTAGCTACTCCCTAGGGCAAACGCTCCCTAAGTATCATTTGCCACTGCTCAAACAGTGCAAGTCCCATTCCGCAGCACTTTTCACATTTTACTGTGGATTATTGTAAAGAGGTGTCCATGAAAGATGGAACCAGGCCCACTCTACCCACCCTTTAAAGCTGAAGGCTGGTTTTTGATATATGCGTCATTCTTAGAGACTGTGCATATCGGTTTTGGTTATTCAGCCAGAAGCACGAGCACTTACATGTTTTTAAGCATTGTCGGTCTTATGTCTGCTCAGGGTTAGTAGCTAAATATTTTCTTAAACTGGGCATGCATTTTCTCTGTCCCTGGACCTAGGGCCCTATTCCAAACGGCTGTGTGGAAGGCTAGCACTTGCGTGCCAGCCTCGTGGCTTTCTAGCTGTGATGTGGGTATGTGCTCACTGCAACTCCTGAGTGAGGCTCAGATGCCTTTTTGTAAGTAGGTCCTGGACAGAGAAAATGCACCGAAGCATCACTCTTTTGGAAATGGGATGTCGCAATTGCCCACTGCCCACCAACGGGCAAATTGCTGAAGCTTCACGTTGCATAAACATCCCGCAGGTCTGGATGGTTCTCCAAGCCCTGATTCCACTGACTCTGTGGGCTTGCTCAAGAGCAAGAAGGCTCTTGAGAAGGTAAACTAGTTTGAATTTCTAGGATTTTTTTTCTTGCTGTAGCCAGCTTGAATGTATAGGAAGAATAGTGGGACCAAGGCAGAGAAGGGAGGGCATTTCTGCTCCCAGGTTGGTCAGAACCAAGGATGGGGGTGGAAATGAAGAAGAAAACCACAACAGAAAGAAAACGCAGCATATATCAAGCTCTGCTGAGCCTCAAAAGAGGCTCCTGCTGGGCAACTGTTCCTAGTTGGCTTATGTTACCAGGACGGGCTCATCTGGCTCCTCAAGGATGTCCTAACCTCTTGCAACCATGGTAGCTGTAGGCTGGCAAAAGGGAGTCATCTGGTAGAGATATGTCTGGTTTCGCTGAAATCAGTGGCCAACCTCCCACTGACTTCACTTAACACCACCGTCTAGACAGGATACTTGATGCAGAACAGTAAATTTGCTCATGATCCCTAGAGCTTTGCTCCATTAGCCAATGTGGCTAAAAATGCCCTGAAAAAACCTGCCACTTTGAACTGTTTTGCTGCACATAATGCTTGTAAAACCAAAGAGACCAAATACAACCCTCCAAAACAACCAACCACAGAGGGTGAATTGTTGGGAGAGGAGATGGCAGCCTCTAGCGAAGTAACAGTCATGGCAGATTACAAAAGAGCCAGTTGACCCTCACCAGCTGTACTAGGAAAAAAAACCAAAAGAGATGTCGCATTATCAATAGAAAAACAACGCACATCCACAGTTATTTTACCTACAGAGCACAGAAGAACAAAGTAGGGGTGACGGAACTTGGTGAGAGCAGACTCACACCTCTCCTACTGTAGTATATTATCCTTCGGAAGATCACTGGCTTGAGTAGGTAGTACATGCACAGCAATAAAAAAATTACTTGTATTGTCTTGGTGCCACCTCAGATCTCGGTGGACTCTATTCGCTCGAGTCTGGAGGGAGTCCATGGTTTTTTCTCCTCAGTGTGTGGGGGACTGGTGGCCTTTGTGTTCATCTCGTTCACCTTGTGCTCCAGGAGCTGGTTCTTCTGGTACATCTCCACGTAGTTCAGCTGCAGCTGCTTCTGGTACTTGATGACTTTCTCCTTCTCTTCTTGCCATGTGCGCCGCTCTTCTTCAAAGTCCATCACCTGCTGTTCCCGCTGCTGCCGCTCTAGCTTCAGCTCTGTCTGGAGCCGCTCCACCTCCTTCCGCAGTGTGTTAACACTGTCCTCACTCTGCCGCTGCATCTTGGCTTCGTCACTCTCACAGGCCAGAGGGTCCCGCAGCTTCTCGGCCAGGTCCCCACTGAAGGCCCCTGGAGGCCCCATGCTGGCAAGTGTCCGCTTCAGGCCGGAGACCTCCAGCTCACAGTGGTTCAGTTTTTCTCTCAGCACCTGGACCTCACTCATCTTCCGCTGTAGCTCACTCTCGCATATCTCCAGGTTGACACTCTTGGAACTGTAAGAGTCCTTCAGGGTGAGGATTTGCTCCTCCTTCTCACGTAGGAAGTTCTTACCTTCCTTGAGCTGTGACCGCAGCCCCACGATCTCATTCAGCTTCTGGGAGACGTCTGCTTGGGAATCCTTCAGCTGCTGCTTGAGGAGAGAGATTTCACCCGCCTTCTGGCACACCTACGAGGACCAAGGGGAGAGCATGCGTGAGATAATGGAGGGGACAGCCAGGCTGTGGAGCAAAGCTGCTCAAGTACTGAGCTCCAGCCCTTGCTGGGACCCAAATCATGCCAAAGACCCAGAGGTTGTCCCTGCATTTCTGTAAGAGATATGGTGTTTATTCTCATCTCTCTGCGACCTGATGCTGTTCACAGCTGGAGTTAACTGAGTAGCTAAGCTAAGCTCCGGTCCTCACTGGTGGTGAGCTGACACCACTGCTTCTCTCCCAGCTTTCATCTTACACACCTAACCACAGGACAGCTATGCTCAGCCCAAACCCTCTGCTCTCAATGGGAGTTTTCCCACTGACCTCAATGGCATGTGGACCTTGAACGAGCCTGAGCCCGAAACATCGGAGACCCGGAGAGCAGCTGGGCTCTCCCTAAGCACTGAGAGTGTAAGACAAGATGTAGAGAGACAGTATTGCTTACTTGTGATATGATGTTTTCTAAAGTCTCCTAAGAAGCTTATTAGCTACATTTTAGAGTTCACGTCATCCACTGATCTGGGGGCAGTCGAGGGACTGATAGCTATTTATTTTCTGTGGGGGAGGGCGTGAAGAATGACAACCCCTCTGCTAGGGCGCAAGGACAAACATGCAACCCACCCTTGCTTAAATGTGACTACCATGCACTGCCTTTGGGCACTGAGGTCTCTGGAGTTTCAGGTTTCAGGTTTCATCCTAACTGCCTCTGTGGTAGGGTGAACAGGTTTTGGGCAGACACCCTTTAGAAATATCCCTACTGCACTATGTGTATGCGTTAGGTAGGCACCAAAATTCCGTACAACGCTTCTCTAGTCCTGCTTAATCCAGCAAAGGTGGCAGTTGCATGAACAGTTCAAGGTGCTGGAAGGGAACAGTAGAAATGATGAAACCCTCATTCTCCCATGAACTCGGGGGTTTTCAGGACTCTCTGTTGGCAGATCTGACCTGGCTGCTGTATGTGGTTGCAATGACAAACAGTCTCTACCCACGCTAGTAGGAATCTGGGCTGGGAAACAGTACCAAGGGATCAGAGAGGATCGGCATAATTAAAAGTAGACTAGGTAGCTAACTCCAAGCTGGGGTCTCCTGTCCTTTTGAAGCTGCTGTTTCCTGTCACGAATGAAGTACTTGGCCTTTCATCTCTCCTGGGGTGTCTGCAAGGTCCATTGCTGTTGTGGTCTGGTTGGGTCAATGCTCCCCAGACGGTACCTCTTCTCCACTGCCTTCATTTCAACCTCCACCATCCTCTGCTGTAGAACACCTGTGTGTTGCATTGTGCTGCTGAAGACCTTGAAGCTCAGAATGGTTTGGTGCGCAATATGAACTGCTGAAGAGCTAGGAGATATATATACCCATAGTCATGTCCTACTGACACCAGCTTTCTGGGAGGTAACTTGCAGAGATTTAACAGCAAGCCACTAATAAGCTCTGCTGAACATCTGCAAATAGCACATTACAGAGCCTGATTAAGCCCAGCTTCATTGGCTTTCCATCAGGACTAGCAGAATAGGGTCTTCTCGATTCTAGAACTACTTTTTGCTTCTGCACTCTTAATAAATTTAAAGTTTCTAGCCAGTCTGTAGAGGGATTAAAATTCCTCACATGATCAAGCTGAAAAAAACATTAGTGCTGGCTATACAAACAGTGTTTGATAAAATGGTCTAAAAATAGAAATGGAAAAAAAAGTAAGACTCAAGAGGAGAGCTAGCAAGAGGAATTTGACTTTCAGTCTTTAAGGAGAGATAAACTTATTAGCAACTGAAAACAATGCGTTATAATAGGAAGCATGAGGTAAACTTGGCTATTGGTATCATTCTCAGCTCTCTCTTTTTATATCTTAATTAAAAAAAAAATCAAATGTTTCAAAAGCAGATTTCAGGATTGCCCAAATGCAGATGTTACAGGAATTTAATTAAAATAGACTTAAACTCCGTTTTGTTAGGCACAAATACCTGTGTGGAAAGATCTGCGTTCACTGAAACTGGATTCAAATGCTATGCATTGAAGTGACCTTACGGTGAAGCATAATTATTAACCAGCACAAGGATGTGCACACGAAAAGTTGCACTCATTTTTATTTAGTTTAATGGAAAACTACAGATTTGGGGCTCAGACAAATAAGCAGGTGACCACATTGTCGCGTCTAACTTAGAAGCCACTGACCCACAGTCATTGTCTGTGGGGTGCTCTTAAGACAAATGGGTGATACTTTTTGAGCTACCTGAGCCTTCAATGAGAAACACTCCAGAGCACAACTTCTAAAGAGAAACATCAAGAGACTCTAGGGTCTCAAATCTCTTCTTTAGCCAAAATGCAGAAGTTTTAGTCACCTCTGGTGTCCACACAGTAATTAATTCATGTCCACATTGCTAATTTGTATGGGAAATCTCTCTCCCTCCATCTGTCCTACCCCATGTTGTTTTATTGGTGAGCTGACCTGTTGGTTTGCAAACAGTAAAGCAACGTATCTTACTGCTTTGGTCTGCATTGCAAACCTCAAGCCAGCAAGGCACATAAGCGTAGGCTCAGCTTTAGGCTCTGAAACAGAGACTAGCAATTCAAGAGGCTAGCAATTCAAACTCATTGCTAGCTCCTAGGCACAAACCATTCAGTGAGGTCCCCAGACCCAGGTACAACCCTTGGTTATTACAATGAGGCCCTTACCTCCCACTTGGTCTCTTCAATCTTTGGGAGAAACTCAGCCTGCTCTTTCTTGAAAGCCACGAATTTCTTCTCCAGCTCCTCTCGCTGCTGGAGGAGTTGCCCCATATCATCCTGGAGTTTTTTTTTCTCCTGCTGGAGCTTGAAGATTTGGAGCTGCAAGGCCTGCTGAGCCCGTTGGGCTTTCTTGGAGACCTGCTGCAATTTGTTGGCATAGTTTTGCCTCAGGTCCTCCATTTCCCGCTCCCAGATCTTCTGCTTCTCCTCGAACACTTGGAAGATGGCTGCCTCGCTTTTGTCCAAGTTCCTTCGCATCTGGAGGACTTCTTGCTCCTTCTCCCACAGCCGGTCTTCCAGATCTTGTATGATATCATCCGTTGAAGGCGAGTGGAAAGGCATCGTTTCGTTGAGATGGTTCAGTCTGTTGAACGAAGAGGTGCTCTTGCTCGAAGACCGCCCGCTGTCTGAGGTAGATATCCCGTTGTATCCCACGATGTTCTTATCCACATAGGTTGTTCCGATGCGATTGATGTGGCTTGTTGAGGCGCTCATTGGACCCACGTGTTGGCTGTAGCCTGTCCCGTACGTGGGCAGGCTCGTTAACGAGTTACGGCCTGAATCTGAAAGGCCTCCCACTTGGTTTGTAGTCCTGTTAAGGCTGGTCTTGTCGAGTCCACTTTTGGGTGCGGACGGGCTATTGCTGTTGGCATGATTCAAGCTCTTTCTGTTCTCTGTCACCCCGTTGCTCTGCGGTGGGCAGAGATTCTGCATGGAATGGAAGTTTTTAGGAACTACTGGTTTAAAGGCTGAGGGTCTAACTAAGGGCTCATTGCTCTGCAAAAGGAAAAAGGACCACACATCAAACATAGCAGGACGCTCGGTAACAACACACAAAAGAGATACATCGGCACGGGCTGGAGCTGATGGAGCTAAACCGTCTTCTGCTAGCTCCAAATTTCTTAGCCTCAGCAGACCCTGCACTAATTGGGTTTCAACGTGGGGAATATGTGAGGGGTTGGCCACTCGTGGGACAATCTTCCCTCAGCATAACTGAAAAATATCTTGACCCACACCAAATCTGCACGATTTTCCCCTGGAATTCTCTTTGGGTCCTTGTAAAGCTCTCTGCAAGAAGGAGGGCTGCCACCTGCCTACCAGACCTCACCAAAATGGCTCTTTTATTTTAGCAGATTAGATTTTGAAGCATTTCTTGCAGTGAGGGTGTATTTCCCTGTTGCTGAAGCCCGAAGTAAGCCCTTGGATTAGCAGCTGTTCTGCCCTCGGAGCAACACATTTCCCTCCTGTCAGCAGTCGGCTGTCCTCTCTGTGGACATGGTGTCCTGCTTATGCTCAGACAGGAATACATGGGGGAATACATGGGACCTCTGGGGCCTGGCCATTGCTGGCCCACGCGCAGCAGTAGTGGCCGAGTAACATGATGCGGCTGCTCTCCGTTTGCACATCTGTGTTTGCTGTGGCCCGGAGCAATGCTGGGGGGAGAAGGGGCTCTCTAAAGGGTTTAGAAAAGAATTTAAAACTTGCAAAGGCTTTTATATTCCTTTGCCAGTGAATACACCTATGAAAGCAAAATTTTCCTCAAAATGGGATTGATTGTCCTGTACAGCAGGTTGGGCTTCAGGTGAAAATTAATGCCGAGGAAGTATCCTTGTACCGGCAAAATTTGCAAAAGCCTTTCAGGAGAAACAGAACAAGCCCTAGTGAGCAGATGAGGTTAGAGACTAAAACCCCGGTGTGTGGCATGCAGAATTCAGATGGACTGTTAGGGCCTGGTGGAAGGTGGCAGATTAATGGCCTAGGAGACAAGGCCACCAAACACTGCAGAAATTGTATGGTGCAAGGCAGGAGCCCTGCCAGCCTCTCCAGGGCACAAGTTATGGGAGTCACTGGAGCAGGTCAGCACGCTATATAAAACATCCCTGGCTCTGGGGTGCTATATGGTGTCTGAGACTCTGCTCTGCCAGACCTGGGAGAGGTTCTTCCCCTGGGGCTGATATGAGCCATGAGGACCGTGCCTGGGTGAGCAATAATGTTTTCATGGGCAGTTTTGAAACCTTGGCAACTTATCCCTTACAAGTGGCTCTGGGATTTTGATCAGATACTGTACCATAGCCATGGGCAAGCAGTACTTTCTGGTGGCAGTGGGTCACTGGAGATGACCCTATAAATGGCCCCTAATATAAGAATGTGACTCAGACATTGGGTCTACTGAAACAAGACTCCAGCTCCCTCCCCTGTCAATACAGGAGGTAGGCACAGCATCTCGGTTAGGCTGGAATAGCTGATGACTTCAACGTTGTCTTAAATGAGCTGGAAACTTAGCAGTCAGAGGTTTGTTATTGAGCTCTTGGGTTCCTCAAGAACTAGCATTTCCTTTGCTCAACCCCCTGGAAGTTTTAAGAATTCCTAAGTTAAGAATTAGATTATCTGTATATAAGAATTACATTATCGATATAGTAAGAAATACAATATCTGCCAGGATTACACCATGCCCCAGGCTTCCTGATCTGTGTTTTTAGAGACGTGGACTGCAGGAAGTAAGGATTCTCACCTGGTCTAGTTTACCAGAGATTGGCAATATCTTTGGTGGGTTACTGGGCTCTCGGTACTGTGGAGGAGGCGGCATGTTCTTCTCATTGTTGGAGGTCACATTCCCACAGATGTCCATCTTCACCTTCTCACTCTTGCGCAGGTCGCCATTGATGTAGAGGGAGTTGGAGACCTTTTCTGACTTGTACGTCTTCTCCTCACCAGAGTAGCGATTGGAGATCTCTCGGGTGGAGTACCCATTGCGAGACCCCTCCGTCTGTCGGCTGCTGCTCTGTGTCCGGGTCCCCACGCTCTTCATGGCGAACTCTTGGTCATTGGCAACTCCACTGCCCACACTCCCCATGGCGCTCTGGGAGGTGGATTGGGAAGGCCTGGGAGCAAAAGCGTGGAAGTTATCTTGGCTGGAGTACGTTGGGTCACTAAGAACTGGCAGCGTCTCTAGTGTGGCCATGGCAGGTCAGAGGTGAGGTGGAGGCACAGATCAGTGGCACTGGGAGAGGGGAGAAAAATAAAAGACTGCTAAAGACATGTTTTTATCTACCATACCCTTTTGCAGATTGGCATTGCGCAAAGATGAGTAAATCTCTCGTGCTAGGGCAGGAGTTGTCCCATCTCGGTGTGCAGTATGGAGCAGGTGATGGGGCTGCTGTTCATGGAAGGGTGAATAGCTGGGACCTGCTGGCTCTGCTCCTCCTCTTTGTGACCCCCAAAACCCCTTGGAGGAGCAGTGTGCAGTGATCCCCTAAATCCCTCTCATCACTGTGCAAAAGAACTGCTGTTAAGTCTCTCAGTCCGAGGGTTGAGTCCTCCCCGTGGAGGAGGCTATGTGGGTTTTAGCAGGCACAGCTCTTCAGGATTGGCTGGACGCAACCATTTGCATCGAGCTGGGATGGGGCTTTAGCTAAGATAAGTCAGCAATCCCAGCTTCGGGGCAGTCTTGGTGCATGCCACCAGCCTGATGGGATCTTGGCCAGCGTGGTATTGAGTCTACAGCACTCCAGAGAGTCTGCTGTTTTGTCCCAGGAGCCCTCAGTTTCAGGTTTCCTGGACTAAGTCGTCCAGGCAGCGGTGGAGACCAGAGCAGGGTTTAAGGACACTGAGAGGTGCACATTTCTCACTTGGTGAAAGAGAGAAAACAAAAGTGACCCCCTTTGGAGGGAAGTTTAGTGAGGAAGAGGCTCAGGCAAGGCCAGCCCGAAGGGGACATGGGAGGGCATCTCTGTGGGGTTTTCCTTGAGATGGGATTATGAAGTCGACCCTCTCCCAAGGAAAGCAGAATAGCTGCTTTAATTTCCTTGGAGAGCTAGCTTAGGCCTCGAGCTTGGCTCCAATATGATATCTCCTGGGGTCTTCCTGTTTGCACTAATAATGGAATGGAGGAAAAAAAAGATTAAAAACAGGGTCTGTGCTGCTTGACTTTGCTTTTATTAAATTGCATTTCTGGAGACATCTGCCAAGCACACTGCCTGTAGCTGCCTCCCCTTTCCAGCATCCTAATCTGTTACAAGGATGCCCTAACTCAGATGTGGCCTAAATGTTGTGGGGCGGGTGGACTCATGCTGCAAACTGCTATGCTGAAGGGAGAGGCCATTGAGCTGTTACCTATAGCAAGCTGCAGAGCTCCTCTGGGGCGAAGCAGGGTATGGAGGTGGTCATGGAGGGAAAAAAGTGATTTCAGGACATGCTCTGGTGCCAGGAAGATGGGATGCAGGTGGGATGGAGTGAAAGCAGACAGCCGCAGCTGTACTGAGAAGGAGCCTCCATGCTTTGAGACACTTAATGGCAGATGTGTCCCAGCATGGGATAACTGGGAATGAGGCAGCTGCAAGGGAGAGATGGACATGTGTGGAGGTGTAAACCTTCTCCACTCTAAATGGGCTCCCAAAATGCAGTCGGCACTGGTCTCTCACTGTCCCCTGACCAGCCCTTTGCATCCCTCCAACACTGTGATCAGGGAGACTGCTGCAAGAGACAGCAGGGCTGGCTAGTACCCCCAATGCCCCACTGCGTACAAAGCGGGTTAGGTATTGGAGAGTGACCAGCCTCCCCTGCACACTGCATGCAATTAAGCACCACATCAGTGCACCATGCAGAGCCTGACAGCTCTCCAGCTGTGAGGAGATCCCAGCCCTGTTATCTCTTCTCTACCCAAATGAAGGGAGCAGACACAAAGTGCATGCCAAGAAACAGTGACTGCCAACTGCTGTTGCCGCCTTGCCTGTGCGTCACCCAGCCAGAAAGCAAACCAGCTGGTGCTCTGCCAAGTCCCATAGTCTGGGGAAGGAGTTTCCCCATGGGACTTGCACCAGTGAACCACCGGTAATATTCAAGTAATGAGCATTGGGTAGACATTTGGTAGTCACTGCTGATGCTCTTCCGGGTAGGCTGCACCTCTGTCCCCCAGCAGAGATGTCTCCATGTTGCTCACTGATTACGGCCCAAAGGCTGAGCAGAAAATGAAAATCACACAAGTGCTCAGTGCACCTCACAATGCAGCATAGGGACCCACCAGGATCAAAACATACACATTTTTATCAGTAATACGCAACAAAACCTCCACTAGGGGAGACAAACATCTGAGTACGGTCACTCACCCAATGAGAGCGTGATCACCGGACATTTGGTGTGCTGAGTGAGGACTATACCAACTGCAATGTTTGGACATATCTTCCAATGCATTGAACAGGACTTAATGTATCATGACCTATTTACACCTTAGTGGCACTCTCCAAAGGACAACGACATAGTTCACGGGCACACAACACCCAGAGGTAAATCTAGCTGCATGCTTGGCACAAGGACACTCACTTGGATTATTGAGCCAAAGAGCAGTGCGAAGGGATGGAGACCGCCCGTCTGAAGACAAACTCAACCCATGGTGTCTGAAGATTTTATTAGTCAAGGGAAGATTTTTTGTTTTGCTAATTAGCTGTGTTTTTAGGAATAACCTGCCTTTTAGTGACTTTGGGACTTTTATAGGCTGTGTCTCTTTTACAGGACGCCAACTGCCAGGAAGGGATGCGCTGGGAGATCTCAGCTTTGGACAGAGGAAAGGCTCTGGCAGCATTCACCCCCATGTACAGTCCTGCCTGGCTCCGCTCAGCTGGCAAAGAAGAAATCCAGTTTACCTTTTCCTCAGCTCGGTAAATTCCACAGTGACATTTACACATTTACACTGACTTTCTGAGGGCAGGATGAGGTAACCGGAGAATTTGATCCTCCTTCAGAAAAAGGCCAACAACAGCATGCAGTGTGAGCTAGACAAGACAAATGTCCTTAGTCGGGTGAGAGCTACAGCCTGTGGCAGAGTCACAGAAATGGCCTCCAGGCCACCTTGCAGGAAGGTACCTTCCCAGCCCCATGAATTCTCCTGTCATGGACATCAGTGGTCTTCACTGACGGAGTACCGCAGCCTTTATCTGCACTCTAGGACCCCCAGGTTCCCGGTTGGTGCATCGTGGACAGCTCTGCCTGGGGACGTGTCCCAAGCCCCCCCGGAGGTTCAGCCGACGTTTCTGTTTAATGTCAGTGACCTGAAAGCAGGTGCTTCAGCTGCTTTCTGCTGGTGTGGGATCAAAGTTGCAGGGACGGTTCCTGAAAATGGATCTTTTCGCATATGTTTTTTTCTTTTAATTGGGAAACTTCCAAGAAAATATTCTGAAAAAACTGTTTATTAGCTTATGTTGACTGTAAACCTGGAAGCTGATAACCAGAGCATACGGACAAGCATTTCAAATATGTTTTTAAAGAGATTCCAGAAGCGCCAGCATATCCTTGACAGTATAGCTGCCAAATAGGGCCATTTTTCAAGAATAACAGCTCTTGATTTTGTAGGCTCTTTCCAGGTTTGGAGGAATACCTGATAAAAACTTCCCTGGGACATTTTTCCTCCTTAAATCTCATAACTACCTCCTGCCCAAGGGAACACTAACCAAAATTTAGTTCACAGGTGATTCTGTATAAAAGAAACAAAGACGCTGAGTGAGAAACTTCAGTTTGGGTTGTGGATCAATGCCTCAATACCTGATTTCTCCTTTCTCTCCCTGAGACCCCCCCCATGCACTTTGTTGTTAATCACCGCAGAGGGAACATTAGTCTTCATTATAAATATTTGCTACAGAAGTGAAGCTTTAGAAAGGTAAAGGCTTTTTAATAAACCTGAGGTTGGCTGTGGCAGAGACTGCTCGTCCCTGCTAAGAGGTGTCAACAGAAAAGGCCTATATGTTTTTAGACTGAAAGGCTGTTACCCTCTAAATAGCGATCTCTAGGTTGCTGATGATCTGCAAATGGATGGTAAGTGGTCCACTGAGACCTATTAGACAGCAAAATTAATGAGCTGATAGGTAGTTTTTTGGCTGTGTGGGTGAGGGTTAGGAATTGTGAAGGTTGACAACTTCTCCAAAATGTGGGGTCAAGGAGTTGGAGGTCGCACACGTGTACTGCTGACCCCTGCCAGGACACACTTGGGGATGTGTTGCTGTGAGGGCCCAGAGAGATTTTCTTCCTCATACTGGCAGAGGGACCAAGCTCCTTCGCTGCGCTCAGCTGCAAGGACCTTCATGCACAGTGCAGTAACAGCCACAAAATTTATGAGTAGCCACAATTCGGCACCCTCAGATTTCATTCGCTTACAGTGCAATGCTCTTGTGGGAAGCCTCATTAAACACAACCAGCCTAATTAAAGTGTGGGACTCACAAGATGAGGTAGTAAACAATTCAGACATCTGTCCTGCTGCTCAAAATGCGCAGGGATCGCGATACTGGAAAATCACTGCTCTGCACTCCAACACCTGTAACGCTGCCTTATAATATGGGTTGTGTCTGGTCTCCAAGGACACATCTTTTCTTAAACCATATTAGCAAATTAAGACGACAGATCATCAGGCAGTGCTGGCCAGGGTTGGCTTTCCAACGGTGCTAAAGCCCATCTACTGTGGTTTGCAGAGGGGTCAGAGCCTTGCCATCGCTTGTCCTGGCCTTTATGAGTGCTGCTCTAGGATATTATGGCCATATTTCAACCTGCCCTGACACACATGTGCTGCTTTAATGCTGGGGCTGCAGATCTGGGGGTAAATCTGACTTCCCAGTTGTAAATCTATTTAATGCAAATACTGAAGCTGTCATCGGCCGGGGCTGGAAAGCAGCAGCGCTGCGGTGAGGGCGAGCGTCAGGAGGAAAGCATCGCAGGAATCCACATGTGACTCCCCCATCCGCCTCCTCCCAGCCTTCTGACCCCTGGCGAGGTGCACACAGCCATCGCAGTGTTAGGGAGGCTTGGAGCTGGTGGAAGGGGCTATGAGGCAGCCTCGGGGGTGGGATATTTCCCACCTGGGCGGCTTGGAGCTGCTCCAGCTGTCCTGGTGAAGGTGAAGCAGCATAGCTGCTCTCCTGAGCCTGGAGGTCATCTCTTATTGCCAGGAGGTGTCATCTGCATCACTCCAGCCAGGGCAATGAGTGATGCCAGCATAGTGCTGATGGCTGATAGGGCAGAGCAACCTGCCTGGGGGGGCGGCACAGCGGCTATGGAAAGGGCATCACCAAAGAGAGAACAGGCTCTTGTGGCCAGGGTAGCAGAAAGAAAAGGTATTTTGCATGATCCCTCCGTGCCTTGCTCCTACAGAGCAGCTCTTTTAGGGCTGCTGGGTCAGCCCCAAGGAAAGGAGAGGGAGGATGGACGAGGAGGGCGAGGGAGCTGGGTACGTCCTGGCATTGTGCTCAACAGGGCTCTGAGGGTATGGAGGGGCCACAGGTGGGCGGTCCACCTTGGGGTGGAGGTGGACTCATTGCAGGGAGGCCATGCGGTTAGTGCTACAAGATATTCTATATTCTAGCCAGCAATGAGTAACGTCATCCTGTCATGGGGAAACTGAGGCTTTCAGGGAGGGGTGTGTGTTTGTGATTCACTTTGGCTTATTGCCCGTCCAGAGAAAATCAGGCCTGGAGGCTAAGTCCAGCCCCAAGTGCCACCTCATCCTGCTATGGAGGAAGACCAGAGAAGCTGAGATGTGGCCTCCTACCTCTCCCCATCACACAATATCCTCCCCTTCTCCAGCACTGAGAAATCCTCCTGCCTCTGCACTGTCTTTTCTGGAGACTGGGGGAAGCCAAAGCAGCTCACATTTACCAAGCAGGGCAGATGCCCAGCAGCCTTTCACTCCCAAGCCCTTTCTTTAAACAAAGAAGGAAAGGAAAGTCAACTCCAATGTGATTGGGCTCAGAAGAGACTCCTGCCCCTTGACAGTGGGGCGAAAGGGGGCTCTCCTACCCCGTGGTGGTGTGGAGGCACCACAGACAAATGGAAAACCAAAGCAAGAGCTGGAGGTTTCAGCAACCTATTGGCTTGCACGCTTTCCAGATGTTTTATCTTTCTGGATGTTATAGCCCATCTGCAATGCTGTAATTGGGAGACACCAGGACTGCCTGACTTTTCATCCTGACTGTGGGCTTGGAGGGTCCTTAGGAAGACATCATGTCCCTCCCCATGGAGGACCAGCTCTACCCATATTGCTCCTGACTGATATCTGTCAAAACAGCAGCTGCCTCTGAAAGCCAAAACTCCGCCCTTACCTAGCTCTGCCCTCCCTCAAGTTCCTGAAAACCAGTTTACAACAAAAACCCAAATAAAGGGACTTTCTCCAGACACAAAGGAGAAGAAGGGAACCTTTCCAGAACAAACACTGATCTAATTTCCCATTTCCGAGTATTTGTGTGTTATTAAAGCTGAAAAGAGTTTCTTTGTCTGGATCACAGGCAAAGCAGGCTTCCCAGCACACATCTTCACAAAAGCACGTTACCTATAAAAGGTGTCTAGTGACGTGGGTTGTGCCTGTGTCTCATCAATACACCGACCAGTACAGCCAGCTGGGGTTACAGGGATTTCAGGCGACAGCACTCAAAGCGACAAGCCTGGGTATGGCCAGACACTACTGGGGGCTCATGCAGCTCCACAACCACCTCCCTGTCGCATGACCTGCCCGTCTCCAAAAGGCAGCAATATTTCCTCTTCCCCAGCTGTGATGGGTAAGCCCTTCACAGCTACCTCTCACCAGAGTTTTCTTCATTGCCTGCAATTCTGGGGGACTGCTAGATGCTGTTGTAAATATAATAATCCATAAAATAACTCCTGTGCCTTCACACTTGCTTCATCCAAATGATTTAATAAATGCCTCCCAGTTAGACGGAAGAAAAATTGCCTTCAGATAAGCAGCTGAATGGTTAACTAAGCCCCGATTATGAAGGCCTGGCTCTATTTCTGCCTGAGTAGGTTAATTGTTAACACTCTAGTAACAAAGGCCTTTGGGAGACATACCTAGGCACTGTGCCATGCGAAAAGGAAATCAATCACTGGTCTCAGGCAGAGAGAGCTCTAACGAACAGCCCGAAAGCAATGCAATGCATTGGCACACTCACCATCCAAGGCATGTGGTCCCCACAGGACAGGGAGCAAAGGCGTCTGAAGGTCAAAAATCCTCCCTCCCCACTACCAATTGCTGTAACAGGTATTGGCCTGACCTTGTACAGTCAGCTTTGTTTGCTTCAGTTTTAATGAGCATGCAATTAGTAACACAAGGAAAATATGCACTTTTGCAGGGCCTACCCCTGCGCTGTGTTTAGGGCTCTGTTGGCTCTCCGGTTTGGTGGCACCAGCATCAGAGAGGTGGTATGGCTGGAGGAAAAAAAAGACCACATCCTGGGGTGATGGAGCAGGTTAGAAATGGTGTCAAAGGGGTGAAAGAAAAACAGCTGTGATCATTTCAGCTTCTTGTACAAAGATGTATGCACAGGGAAGGGAAGGCCGGTAAGGGTTTAGTAGCGAGAAGACAGCGGACTCCACAGGGAGCAAAGTCACCTTTCTCTAGAGAAGCT